ATCGATAGTCGCCAGCAGATCGGTATGAAACATGCTTCTTCTCTTTATTTTCATTTTGTTATACGAATTTTTCTAATATAGCCGATTCATGGCCTCAAGTATTTGATGATCATAATGCTCGCGAACATTGGGGTTGGAAACCACAGGTTGATCTCGATGGGTTGGTTCGTCGAATGTTTAACTATCTAGAACAGTCCTCGGCCAAAATGCACTAATATTAGTTTCCGAACAACGAACTTTCGTAGATTTCTTTTTTCTTCTCTCATATCAACCAGACCCGACGATAAAGCTATTGGAAGTTAATTCGAAAATAAAGGATAGTGGTGGATATGCTAGCAAAATCGATTCTATTTCACAATTGTTAGAAAAGGGTGTGGGTGTGGGTGCGGGTGTGTGGGTGTGGGTGTGGGTGTGCGTATGGGTGTGGGTTCAGGTGTGGGTGTGGGTGTGCATACGGGTGTGCATACGGGTGTGGGTTCAGGTGTGGGTGTGGGTGTGGATTCGGGTCTGGATGCCAATCATCAGTACATTCACCACCGACACGCACACCCACACTCCACAACACCCACACTTCACACCCCACACCCACACTAGTGAACTGCGGAGTCGCATTTTTTGATCCCGAAACCCGACCCGATTCCTAAACTTTTTTTTCTTCAATTCCGAAATCCGACCCGATTCCGAAAATATTGTTTTTGCGATTCCGATTCCAACTCCGACTCCGGTCAGAAATTTTTTCGGACTCCGACTGCGACTCCGAAAAACTCCGAAAATTTTTTGTGACTTAGGAGAGAATTTTTTTCAAATGCTCCCTTCGAATTTCAATGATTTTTTTGTCCGTAGATATTACATTAGGTTCTAGTTAAAGTCCTAAAAAAAAGATTTGGGTTCGTGTAGCTTTCTTCGAAGGTTATATGCATCTTTATTTTACTTCTACAAAACATAACCTATAACGTTGAAGAGATGGTTTGTCAGACCACCAATTAAGTCATATTTATTTCTATGTATGAAAGATCATATTAAGAAATTTATAAATTCGAAATATCAAATTATTTTGAAATATTTGTAAAAAGTATTAAGAAGCACGATCTTTGCTTTCCTCATGCTTATATCATGTAAATGTAGTAAAAGCTGGTTTATAAATATTAATAGCTATTTCGAGAATATTTTTCTCTAAGACCGTCTCATAAATCCAGAAAAGGTCTTAAAAGGGGCAGAAAAGAATTCTCTATAGAATGTGGTATACCAGTGTTCATAACAATGATTGTTAGTAGTTGATAGCACTTTCACAAGAAAAAGGAGTGTATGCTTCGTAGTCATTCTTTTGCCTGTTTGTTCGTGACTTAGACGAGTAATGGCATCGCAAAAAACTGAATCAAGTTTCTATAAACCCTTGATACTGCACTTTTAAAAATTCTTTTCTGGATCATTGAGAAGATATTAGACAGAAAAATTTTCAAAATAACAATCGGTGTGTAAAAACAACTTTTTATTGTTTTCATAATCTAATGACAAAGGAAATGAAGGTTGTACTTCTTGGTGTTTTTTCCCAAGTGCTTCGAAATAACTACAAAATAAATATTTTATGAGATCTGAACTAATTGGTGCTCTAGCGAACCATTTCTTGAACAGTATATGTTGTACCTTATCGAAGTAAAAGAAGTATACGTATAGCTTTTGAAGGAAGCGACGAGAATCCATATTTTTTCAGGGTTTTTACCAGGACATTTTGTAACATCTGTAGACGAAAATTCATTGAAATCTGAAGAGTATCTGAAAAGGTTCTCTCGTTCAACAGTAACTTCTAAAAAAATTTCTTTCAATATTAAACAGGTGAACCCACCAGAGACAAGCTCGAAATTCGGAGTTCAGTTGAGTTTTTTTACTCCGACTTCGACTCCGAAATTTTTTTCGTCTTAATTCCGATTCCTACTCCGATTCCGAGAATTTCTGTTTTTTGACTCCGATTCCGACTCCGACTCCGCCGGAGTCGGAGTCGGAATCGGGTTTAGGACTCCGGTGCAGTTCACTACTTTATATGCTTTGAAAATTTTCTTCTTCAAAAGAAAAGCCAGTTTATTAATATTAGGGCATCGAATAGATTGAATTGTTAAAATAACGACATTATGTTTTCATGTGTATGATGGATACACTATTGCTTACAAATGAACATCTATCTTAATGTACACAAGAAAAACTAACATAAAAGTCCATGAATTGCGAATAATTCAACAGAAATATTATGATACAAGGATTTAAAACAATTTTCCAAGTTTGTCAACACAAGAAAAGCACTGAAGTTGGTAACCATTGATGGCTTTCGATATCTTCTAGTAGAAAATTGCAAATTATTAGAGAAACCTTGATAAAGATGCAGGCATGAGTACTAATATAGGTTTATCAATCATCGATCGACATATTAGACTCGCAATCACATCAAGACCTCGTTCCATTATGATGCATTCTCCGCAAAACAAGACATTATAGGAACATTTGGAATACATGCTTACAACGTTTAGGCAGTCGATGACAATAATGTGCTATTCATTTATATTTTCTTTGAATTCAAGGACTTTGTCAATAAACTGGATTAGAATCTAAGAGATCAAAATATAGATTTTAACAATAGCATTGTTCTAAATTCTATACTCACTCCTCCTGCATTGTATTATTTTTACCAAAGAAAATACTTTATTGATAAATCATCCAGGATTTGACTTCTCGACTTCATATTTTCACCAATGAAAGATGGAAAGTTAATTAGCTAATATTGATTCAGAACCACAAGAATAATAGCAATGATTAATTTTGTTGAAACTTGTCTTTATTTATTACGTCGATCTATGTTCTTATTTTTCCTATTGCTGCCAAAGTAACGTATTTTGTCATATTACTTTATGGAGATTTTGAAGGGGGTGTAACGATTCGTAACGAGAAATTTACAGGGCTTTCGTATTACGAAAGCCCTGTCATCGTTTTTACTACAGGGCTTTCGTAACGAATTTTGACAGGGCTTTCGTAACAAATTCTGACAAGGCTTTCGTATCAAATTTTGACAGGGCTTTTGTATCAAACTTATACAGGGCTTTCGTATCGTTTTTGACAGGGCTTTCGTAATCAAGTTCTTATTGCATCCATAACTAAAATGAACGACTGGCACTAAAAAGAACAGGGCATTCGTTACGAATACCCATGCTTACAAATATAGCTTAAGTCATTAAGTGGGATCCATTCGTAACAAGTTTTATATACTTAAATGGTCCAAATACATGGTACTATACTGTGAATGAATTATTTGTATACATTCATAGATGTCGTTGTTATTTCTAGTTCTCTATATTTTTCCAGAATTGTGTACGCCTTTTTTTGTGAAAGTTGTTGACTTAAAATCGAGGAAATCAATTATGTGTATTCTTAATTCTATTATCTGGATATTGTTCTCGTTCACTCTTCTCTCTTTATGTATTGCCTGGTTTTTGTTACTTTTTGTTGTTACTAAGAAAGAGATTTACAAGAAGATAAAAATTTGTCTATACTTATATGCTGGTTCTCACTTTCTACTTTTGAACTATTTATGTTATAATTTTGGTAGATCACTAATTTCAATATGAAATCCTGTCAGCAACATCTGACTAAAGATCATACCAAATCCTTTTACGTTTCGATAGCCCTGTAAGAACGGTACGAAGATCCTGTAAGACCGATACGAAGACCCTGTCAAAATTGTTACGAAGGCCCTGTAAACTTGATAGGAAAGCTCTTTAAAAAATGATACGAAAGCCCTGTCTAAAACGATACGAAAGCCCTGTCGAAAATCGATACGAAAGCCCTGCTTTTTATGATTTATGCATTTTACATTGTTACGAAAGCCCTGCTTCTTACTGGGCTTTCGTAACCAACCGTTACGAATCGTTACCTTCCCATTTTGAAACATAAATCTAGCTTTTAAAGCAACGCTAAAAATTGTTCTTTTGGAGAATTCCTATATAATTCTCATTTCATGTTTAGAAATGGTGTAAAAAATACATGATTATACAACATGGATACAAAGATCTTATATTCCTTCTTAACAAATTTTTGAAGCTACGTTATTGAAATGAAACAGTTCTATAAATGTCTTGCTCTGAATATAATATTCGCAAGAAATAGACACTTTTGTCGTCGATACCATATTTAGAACTACTTTATTGTGAAAAAATAGGTCATCGTCAATGTCATTACTGCTGAGCATCTCATTTAGAACTATTTTATTCTAAGAGGAAAACCTCACCAACTGATATCTTCCATTGGAGCTCATATTTTGCTCATTGGCAGTGATCATAGTGCAGATAAAAAACCTAGAGGAGTTCGTGCCTCTAGGTCTTTCTTCTCGAGTTATGATCATGTTACTGAGTTTTCAGCCTGTGACAGGGTAGTATGGAAAAAAACTGCAACAAGGAATTTTTGCCCGAGAATTTTCTCAATAACAGACCTTATGGTCCTGATTATATCCTGAAACTTTCAGCTCAAACGAATGAATTTTTCTTAAGATATGGGATACCTTAAAAATGGACCGTTTTCGGAGATTTTGTAATAAAGTAGTGTTTGATGGAAATATATTATCTCGAGAGAGAAGCATTCGTTCGAGCTGAAAGTTTTAGGCTATAATAAGAAACATGAGATCTGTTATTGAGAAAATTATCAGGCAAAAATTCCTTGTTGCAGTTTTTTTCATGATGCCCTGCCATAGGCTGAAAATTCAGTAAAATGATCATAACTCGAAAAGAAAGTCCTATGGGCACGAACCTCTCTAGTGTTTTTATCTGCACTACGATCCCTAACAATGAGCAATATGTGAGCTCAAACGAAGGGTATCAGTCGGTGAGGTTTCCTCGTTAGGTATTCATTTTTATGTGAACCGGTTCATTCACTTTTCTGATTCTTCTTTTGTCAAACATTTTTTTTATACGACTAATCCAATCCAGTATTGTAACCATAACTGATTATCCACGATGTTAAGATCGAAATATTTTGTTAAGTTGAAAGCAGCTATCATTCATGAGCTTTCTAGATTTCAGAAAGTTCTGTTTTTGCGGAACTCACATATATCTTCGAAGAAAATAGTGAGTGTAAGCTTAAGTCAAAGTTTTGGTGGCTCTTCCCTCCCTATTACAGATCCTCTCCCCATTATAGGCATCGCAACCGTGACTAAAAGCGCTGCAAGACATGAATGACAAGGTTTCGAAGGTTTCAGAACATTTAAAAATCTTCCTTGTAATTATTTAAATGGCTGGAATATGTTGTTCATTATTCTAAATCACAAAGTTTCTGATTTGTACGCAGATAAATGATTATGAGCAAGATATCAAGGGTGATGATTCAATTTGATACAAGTGTCGTGTGATCCATATCATAGTATAACTGATTAAGTTCAAACTTTCGGGAATAATTAATATCAGTTTTTCTAAGTCCATAGGAATACATAATAGATTATTAAGATCTACTGAACATATAACGAATACGTACAATAGACTTATTTGCTCATTAAATTGATAGTTTGACGAATAATAATAGATGATGAAAATGAAATACAAAAAGGAAAATAGATACAAAACGAAAAACAATAATAGAAATAATAAAAAAGTGTGCCTTATACAAAAAATAGAAAATGTTGGGTTGATGCAAAAATCTCTGTCGATTTTTTTAAAAATCTTTTAAAAACCATTTGCGAATTTTATTCATGCCTGTCTTTTGTATATATCATAAGGGTGGGTATGGGTGTGAGTGCGGCTGTGTGGCTGTGGGTATGAATCAACGGAAAGAACTTCTACACCCATACCCACACATCCACACCCACAGCCTAGACGACAAAGCTTAATCAACTTCACTTTGTCATTAATATCTGTCCTAATATAAAATATCATAAAGTGTAATGTACTAATTATATCACTCTTCAATAATTCATACAATTTGTTTTTTTAATGACAAATTTTCATCAAATTGTGTATCTAATTTAACTACATCTCCAATTTCAAGAATCTGATGACCAGAAAAATTGAAACGAAAAATTCTCTTATATCATTGGTTTTTGTGTTTTGTAGAATGAACGAGACTTTTCTTTCTCGTTCGTTCGTCATTCAAAACTATATGACGATATACATGCAGTGAATGTCAAAAAGAAAACTGACCTCTCATTATCTATATGATAACTGAAAAAAAAAATTCTTTTTTCTTTTATTTTTCTTTCTCATAAGATATATATTTTTATGTTGGTAATTTTGATTCATTTCAAGTGTAGAATACGAAACAAGCAGTAACTCGTCAGCATTATCACATTTTGTTAAAGGTAAGAGAAAAGCTAGACTCAGAAAATAAATTACGAGTTAGTAACGAAAAATGAATAATTTTTATTTGAATTTATTATTGACCGATTCACCATCACCAGATGTATCATTTCTTCCGATTGAAATCTAAACTTCATTTCAACTGTTTCATTAGCATTTCTTAAAATAATTCAATTTTTCTTTGATATCACATAGTGTTTCCATATGTAAAAATATTAAATTAGTTTTATTTTCCAGAAAACTTTCTCGTAACTGTAAAAGTGTCTCGCAGGATTAAATCTATTTTCACCGAAAGGAATTCATCGAAAACGAAGTTCACCGATTCGATTATCGCCGAATAAACTTTATTACCGAAAACGAATATAAGTTGCATTTAATCGGTCTAATAGACAACAATTATATTTTAGATAATTAGACCATGATACCAGATGAGTTGGTCTTCAAGTAACATAGGTTCCAAGTCGGTTGAATTGTCTACCAAGTCAGATGGCTACCAACTCAGATGGTTACCATCTCAATTGGCTACTAGGTTAGATGATTATCGGGTCAGACTCATCCACTCTAGTCCTCAGCCTCAATTAACCACCTTGGGTGAGGACTAGAGTGGATGAGTCTGACTTGGTAGTCAATTGAACCGACTTGAAAGCTATCTAACTGGAAGACTAACTCACTTAGTATCATGGACTCATTATCTAAAATATAATTGTTGTCTATAAGACCGATTAAATGCAACTTATATTCGTTTTCGGTGATAACATTTATTCGGCGAATTCCTTTCGGTGAAACTCATCTTCGGCGAAAATGGGCTTTACCTCTCGCAGAGCTATAGCCTTGTTTGCAAACACTTGAAAGATTTTTTTTTTTTCAGTGAATAATACAACAAAAACGAAGTAGTTTGCATAAGATGAAAAAATTAATACTGTGAAGAGAACAAAAACAAATGTAAGAAAAAAAACTATTTTTATGGTAATTGTTTCAGGTGTAAAAAATTGTTCCTCTTTTTTTGTAATTATATAATAGTTTTTGATGGTAAAAGCATTGATATAAGCAAGTATTCTTTTTCATTTCACTTGTCGCATTTAGTTTACAAACTCGAACGGTGATATCACATATATTCCATCAAGTTATAACGGAAATAGATTTGATATCTTATAAATAGTAGCAAATAACGACACAAGAAAATTTTTTATACTATGTACTAAGACTTGTAAATGTTCAATGGTGCTATTTCATGGTGATAACAGCTCACGTTATCGAGTAAAGAACGTTTATTGACACATAACTTAATATTCGAATGAGATGTTAGTCAACATTTTTCTTGCGTATCTTTAGGAAAAATCTGGCATCCTTCCACACCAGATATTCGACAGGTGTAATAAAGGTTCCGTGTGCAATTCGTCTCTTTTCTCAGGAAAGGATCAAAATTTCAACAGAAGCATGCATCTACGAAGTCTTAAACATTCGACAAGACCTCAATTACACCTATAAGGAAAAAGTATCCAATGATCTGTAAAATCAGATAGTTACATTTTAAATGATTTTATTAGATATTAATAAAAGATAGTCTCAGAAATTCCCAGATAGAACAAAAAAGAAACGAACACAAGATATTGATCAAAGATGTTCGCAGGACATTTTTGCAGCAATCTACTTTACCGTATTCTAAAGACAGAACACCTCACGATATTCTGTCTAGCTCACAAACTACTTTAATTAGTTATTTCTTGACTTAGTTCTAAAGAGAACAGTATTTTTATATGCATGTTCATTTCCAATAACCTTTATACTTCTCAACACATAAACGAAGCTTGAACCGTTATTCGAGAGAACGAAGAATAGACTAGTAGAGCCATTCAAAAGACGATATACACTATAAACCAAAATGTCTTTCTCATGAACAAGAATTACTCGAACAGCAATAGTCGACACAGAGTGTCTAACGATTTTTTGGAAGTCGAAATCCAGTTCAAAAGTCGTCAACGGGTCTCAGGCACTTTTTCCTATATCCAATCAAAAAACGATAAAACACGAAACTCAACAGTTTAAAGAAGGCAAAAAATAATTCCAATGACTGTTAAGGTGGACCATCGCATTCGAGCAATCGTATTTATCAGAAGGAAACACTAGGAAAATGTCATTAGCAAAATTATCAGAACCCGAATATATTGTTTGATTTTGCTTTTGTTTTCTCGTCACCACAACAACATAACGAACAAGTCTATCTATCTGATAATAGTTATTCCATTTACGATATAATTTTTCTATTGCAATCGCTGTCGAGACCAACAAAAAAGTGATTATCTTATAGACTGTGAAACATATGCTGTAAGAAGTCAATTTTGTCATACAATTGTACGAATAATATTATATATGAAATTCCTTTGTTTTTATGTCGGATCATAAAATCCCTTTAGAATTGACTGATAGTTCATTGTTGATTCTTTGAAGAAATTCCAATCTTATAAGAGAGAAGCTTAAAGAGTTTGTCGCAATGAAGAGTGTAACAGATATCACATTAGTGGAGAATATCTACTTACAGATATATTATTAATTAGTATTAGAATTAGATCTTTGAAAATAAATATCTGATCATTGTATTATTCGTTCTTTTTAAGTTGGAAATCTTTCTCTCAATTGATTTATCCATATGGCATTTAGTAACAAAGTCAGAGTTGAAGATTTGATCACTTGTGTTATTTGTCAAGAGCTTTTTGATGATCCACGTCTGTTATCATGCTCACACACTTATTGTCGGAAATGTATTGAACAAACGGCTTCTGCTAATAAAGATCAATTTGAATGTCCTCTACATGATGGAAATAAAATATTAGAAAAAGACACTGGCTCATTACCTCTTAATCAAGGAATACGCGAGTTAGTAGAATTATACGGTAAGAAGGCTATTTTATTATATAAGCATCATCAGTTTTACTTTCCTTTCTTCAAAACACAAGCAGCAAAATAATATTAGTAGAAACGATTGTACATCATACAAACTTTGGTCGAGTGATGTTCTAATTTATAATTGACAGGAGCAGATCATTTTACTCATATTTGTTTTCAAAGGTTTTGTTTCTATGTACATATCATATTTGAGGCATTTTGCCGCATATTTATGAGCAAATATATGTATGTTTTAGGTTCGACTCAACGTTCAAATCTGTGTACCAATTGTCGTCTGGTTGTAGCTGAATATGCATGCGATACATGTAAAAATGAAAAGTTTTGTTCTGAATGCTATGAAACTGTTCATACGTCTCCCGTTATGCAGAAACATCAACGTCTTCCAACTAGTCAAGAGTTACCTGAAATGCCCCCGTGTGAAAAACATCCTAGAAAACAATTGGAATATTGGTGTTACACATGTTTGACAGTTATTTGTATTGACTGTCTGTTATTGAAACATAAAGATCACAAATATACTTCGATAGATGGTGTAACGAAAGAGTTTGAAACAAAGGTTAGTATTAGTTCTATTTCATATAAGAATATAATACAACATTTTTGTTTATGTATTTAGATAAACATCAATTTCCAAGGTATTCAATCATCATTAGAATATAGAATCAAGCAAGCAGAGATATTAATAAATGCAGTTGACAATAATAGTAAATCTAATCAAAAGAAGATTACAAATATTATGACATTATTACGTGAAACTATTGATGAGCATGAGGAAGCAATGAGACAGCAAATTTTGACGATTGAGAAAGAACAGAAGAAACAACTCGAAGATTATAAAACTCCACTAAAACATGAATTGCAAAATTTGAATATACAAAAAGTAACTTTTGAAATGCTTTTCTCAAGTAAAAATTATATAAAGTTATTACAAACTAAACAAGAATTTGATGATTATGTAAACAAAACAAATGGAACATTAAAATCATTACAAATGCCAAGTAGAACTGAATATTATTTGGAAGAACTTGGCCAATTACAATTTATACAGGAAAAAATCAAGCAATGTGGAAGATATGTTGAAGTACCACCATACCACAATGCACAACTTGAAAAATTGATTGCTGAAAACGGAAAAAAACAGACACTTAACTTGAAGGGTAAAAATTTGACTGATTCAGATATGAAGATTGTGGCTGATCTATTACGCAAAAGCACGGTAAGAAAATATTTCTTTCTGTAGGCAGAGATATTGTTCTAAAAGAATCAACAAAGCAAGATGATAATATCGGACAAAGTCTTTTCCCATAGAAACATATTTAAGAACTAAAGAACTGCCTAGACATCGTAAAATTCATTTTGAAAGAGAAAAATAATATTCTTTTTAGGTTATATCCCAAGAGATGTAACCTGAATAAGTTTCTGATAACATATCGCAATATTCTTGCGCGGTACATATTAGGTTTCGTTTTCAAGTAAACAGAGGGTGTGGGTGTGGGTGTGTGGGTGTGAGTGTGGGTGTGGGTAAGGGTGTGCGTGTAACTTCAAATGGCTACCACACCTACCCACACCCGCAATAGCTACTGGACGAATCAGATGTGGTCGATGATTTTTATATCGTTTATAATAAGATGAACAGTCAAATTTTTGTCGACTTATTCGAAAAAGTCGCAATACCGTGTCTAATTACCTCGTTCATCATCCAGAATCTTTGTTCAGATATAGATTTCTGTGCTTAAGAATTTTATTTTCTCCTAACTTAGGAGATCTTTCATCTATTTTGTGTTATGGATACCATATACATAAATATCTATGTATATCATCGTTGACACATATTGTATATTTGAAATATTGAGCAATACAAGAACGTGATATATACACTCTTCTCTCTTTACACGCATTCTCTCATGTGACACAGACACTCACCACACTCCGCCTCGATAACAATCAAATTGGACAACAAGGAGTCCAGCACATCGCTGAAGCTCTCAAGATGAACCAAGTAACTATTCTTTCTTTATCCTCATCACATACACTTCTCTTCTCATATTTCACACAGACACTCACGACACTAGGTCTCGGACAAAATCAAATCGGACAGCAAGGGGCTCAACATATTGCTGAGGCCCTCAAAAATAATCAAGTAACTATGTTTTTTCTATCCTCATACAAGCATCCTTCTCTTTTCATTCAACACAGTCCCTCACCATACTCGGTCTCAGACAAAATCAAATCGGACACCAAGAAACTCAGTATATTGCTGATGCTCTCAAAATTAACAAAGTAAACATTCATTCTTTAGTGTCATCACATATATTCCTGTCCCCATTTCACATAGAAACTTACCATACTCTTCCTCGAACAAAATGAAATTGGGCCACAAGGAGCTCAACATATTGCTGAAGCTCTCAAAATAAACCAAGCAACTATTTTCTCTCTATCATTATTACATACTCCCCTTCTCATCTGATGTAGACACTCATCGTACTCAGCTTCAGACAAAATCAAATTGGACATCAAGGGGCTCGACATATTGCTGAAGCTCTCAAAATCAATAAAGTAAATATTCTCTCTGTATCCTCATTACATACATTCCTATCCACATTTCATATAGACACTCACCGCACTCTACCTCGAACAAAATCAAATTGGACCACAAGGAGCTCAACATATTGCTGAAACTCTTAAAATAAACGCAGTAACTGTTCTGTCTTTACTTCATCACATCACATCACACACACTCCTTCTTTTCATTTAACGTAGACACTCATCACTCTCTATCTCGGACAAAATGAGATCGGACAACACGGGATTCAGCATATTGTTGAGGCTCTAAAAATTAATCAGGTACCTAGTCTTTCTTTATTCTCATCCCTTATTCATTCTCTGGTCTTGCACAGACACTCACCACACTTCGCTTGGATGAAAATCAAATCGACCAGTAAACAATTCAACAAATGCAGCAAACATTAAAGACAAAGACAAAATTGACAGTAGATTGGTAATATTTCACGGAATGAATGTTGATTTCCGCAAATATTCTTATTCTTCGACAAGAAATCGGCTTTTTTTGTTAATGTATTTTTTGACAACTTACAGTTATAAATATGACAGCCAAACACTTCTTCTTTTTTGATGGAAAACAAGGATAATTAGTGAATGTTCGGTCTTCTCTTCAGGGTGTGGGTGTGGGTGTATGGAAGAGTTAATTAGCTCTGAACCCACACCCACACCCTCATTCTTCTAATGATATCCATTGAATATTGTAAAAGAAAAACGTTTCATTATGTCTTTATAAAATTTTAACATATCAACAAATTCACACTTACAGCTTTTGGCGAAAAAAGAATGTCCAAACGTAAGTTTTATGATATTCCGAAATCGAATATCAGTCACCTCGTCTAGTCCTGTTTCGAACGGCTTTGTCAATGATGAATGAGCATCTGTTTCATCAAAACTTCTATAATATTCTATGTAAAAAAAGAACGAAAAATTATTAATTTAAAATTAGCTCTGATTCTCTTTATTTTTAAATAAACGTGTCTAATATAAAGATGTACGCGATTGGAACTAAAATATAAAAATTTGCTGACACTAGGCCGGGATTGGGATCAACGAAATAAAAGTTTACTGGGGCTAGATCAGCTAGAGTTCGGCCGTTTCAAAGCACTTTTTTCACGGTTTCGGTTCGAAGAAGTTTAGAAAAGACGGTTTCAATTTGTCTCTTAGTTCCATTTTTTGTGAAACCACCAATCTGTTGGAATGAGATAGAAGCAATGAAATAAAAGTTACTGAGATTCGGACTATAAGAAACATTTTTTTCAAAAGGAAACTACGAGTTGTGGGTAAATTTTCTATGATTTTTATTATGTTATGTTATAAATTATGTCAATCAAAACGAAACTTACGAGTAGGAGCGGTACTTTATTTTTGCTTTAGTGGATAAAGTAAAAAAAAATTATAGTAAAATGACGTAGTTTAAATATTTTTTACCAGTTTCTGAGCTCGCTATCATACATTGATAACGCCACAACATGTTAAAGATCTTCCATATTATTTCATTATAATATAATGTATGGTAAAGCTGAAAATATCGATTTTTATCAATACACGAAAAATATTGTTTTGCCAACTTTACTTTAGTCGGTCGAACAAAGTTAAGTTAGATTTTTTACTTTTTTAAAATAAAATAAAGATAAACTGCCATCTCTACTAAGGAGAGGTCACCAAAAAAGTAACATTCGTCGACTAAATCAATAAAAAAAAAACGAGTATTTAAGACGTTTTTTAGATTCAATGCGAAAGAATTTTGAAAAAGTTCTCCAAATATAGATCATGACTGCAAAAGTTTCAAAGTATCGGAACTGGCACCCAACAAAACTAAAACTATCGGACTCGGACGAAGGTTTTTTCGTGCCGCACAGCTCCAGTTTAATGACACATAGATGAATATTATCCTACAATTTTCTTTTAATGAAAGTTAATGTTTTCTATGCTTTCTTTTTCAAAACCAATTAAAAATAATTAGAAGAGAAAATTGATTGAGATAAATTTCCTGTTTAAAACATCATATCTACAACCATCTATCTAACAATATTTAGCATGTTGAAATCATATTCATACGGTTTCGATAGTTTTCATTAAAACTTTCTACAAAATAAGAATTTCTATAACTGACAATCTTCAATGAAGCTGTATAAAAAGTATCGAAATTTGGTGAATATAACTATATGTGTGACATTTCACAACACACAAAAATTAGTCTACCTATT